CTTAACCCACCCCAAACCCCGCTTAACCCACCCCAAACCCAGCCCAAACCCCTCCTAACCCACCTTAAACCCCGCTTAACCCACCCCAAACCCGGCTTAACCCACCCCAAACCCGGTTTAACCCACCCCAAACCCACCCCAAACCCCGCTTAACCCACCCCAAACCCGGCTTAACCCACCCCAAACCCACCCCAAACCCAGTTTAACCCACCCCAAACCCGCTTAACCCACCCCAAACCCGGTTTAACCCATCCCAAACCCACCCCAAACCCGGTTTAACCCACCCCAAACCCGCTTAACCCACCCCAAACCCGGTTTAACCCATCCCAAACCCACCCCAAACCCGGTTTAACCCACCCCAAGCCCACCCCAAACCTCGCTTAACCACCCCAAACCCCGGTTTAACCCATCCCAAACCCACCCCAAACCCGCTTAACCCACCCCAAACCCGCTTAACCACCCCAAACCCGCTTAACCACCCCAAACCCGGCTCTGCTCCCCAAAAACCCCAAACCCGCCCAAATCCGCCCAAATCCCGCCCGGGCCGGGAATTCCCCGAAATGCGCCCTGCCCGCGCTCCGGCCTCCGCGCCCTCCCGGGAATCCCAAATTTCTGCCGCTCCCACCGCGGATTTGGGGTTATTTGTTCCTTTTCGGGGATTTCTTCCTTCTAGGGTAATTCTCCATTCTGAGGTTAATTCTTCTTTCAGGATTTTTAGTGATTTTTGGGGGTATTTATTAATGTTCTGGGGTATTTATTAATGTTTTGGGGTATTTATTAATGTTTTGAGGTATTTATTCCTGTTGGGGTATTTATTCCTTTTATGGTATTTATTCATTTTTAGGGTATTAAATCCCTTTGGGGTTATTTATTCCTTTTGGGGTATTTATCAATTTCTGGGGTATTTATTCCTTTTGGGGTATTTATTCCTTCATGGGGTATTTATTCATTTTTGGGGTATTAATTTCCTTTGGGGTTATTTATTCCTTTTGGGGTATTTACTCCTTTTGGGTTGATGTATTCCTTCTGGGGTATTTATGAATTTTTGGGGTATTTTTTTTTTCCTTTTGGAGTTAATTATTCTTAATTCCTTTTGGGGTTATCCATCCCTTTTTAGGCTACCCATTCCTTTTGGGATCATTTATCATTTTGGGATCATTTATCCCTTTTTTGGGCTACCCATTACTTTCTTTTTTTTCAGTATATTCATCCCATTTTTGGTCAACCCATCCCTTCTAGAATAATTTAATTTTCCAGTCTATTTATCCTTTTTTGGGGTTACCCATCCCTTTTTAAATTACCGATTTTTCCAGGCTATTTATCCCTTTTTCGGGCCACCTATCCCTTTTAAAATTATGTATTTTTCCCATTTTCAATCCACCCATTTATTTTTTAATTATAATTTTCCCCACTCTATCCATCCCATTTTCATCCCACTCATCCCCTTTTAAGTTAACAATTTTCCCATTTTCAGCCCACCCATTCTTTTTTTAATGGTGAATTTTTCCAGTCTATTTTTCCCATTTTCATCCCACTTTAAATCCCACATTTCCCATTCTATTCCCCCCATTTTAATCCCATTTTAAACCCCACATTTCCCAGCCTATTTATCCCATTTTAAATCAAACATTTCCCAGTCTATTTATCCCAATTTCCGCCTACCCATCCCATTTTCATTTCCATATTTCCCAAGCTATTATTCCCATTTTCAACCCACCATCCCATTTCAAATCCCAAATATCCCAGTCTATTTATCCCATTTAAAATTCCATATTTCCCAATCTATTTTCCCACCCACCGCACACCAAATCCCCATTTTTAACCCAATTTAACCCCCCATTCCCCATTCTATTTTCCCCATTTTTATCCCATTTTAACCCCCCATTCCCCATCATATTTCCCCCATTTTAGCCCCATTTTAACCCACATTCCCCATTCTATTCCCCCCATTTTAACCCCATTTTTCCCCCATTTTGACCCCCCATTCCCCATTGTTTTCCCCCCATTTTTATCCCATTTTAACCCCCCATTCCCCATCATATTCCCCCCATATTTCCCCCATTTTTACCCCATTTTAACTCCCCATTCCCCATTCTTTTTCCCCCACTTTACCCCCATTTTGACCCCCCTTTGCCCATCATATTTCCCCCATTTTTATCCCATATTCCCCCCATTTTTCCCCAATTTTACCCCCCATTCCCCATTCTGTTTCCCCCATTTT